GGCCCGGTCGCAGGGCGAACCTCCCAGTCCACCCGTCCCTTCGAAGGGCTCGTGTCGCGGTCGTAGAATTCGTCCGAGAGTTCCAACCACTACTTGTCCTGAAGTTCTTGAAACAAAAGCTCAGCAGTGGAATCGATGGCCGAGTCAGCGGGTTGAAGGTTGGGATGTGCAGACCTCACTCTGTCGACCACCGAAATCCTCGCGAGTTCCAGGTACTCGGCCTTGGACTGGCGCGGGTATGGCTCCCACAACCCTTGGTCGTTGATGAGCGCCATGATCCATTCGCCCTTCTGGATTGCCGGCTGGATAGTTCCCGGGTGCCATATCATGTCTGGCCCCCGTCCGCCTCGCTCGATCGAGTGTGGTCGAGCCCTTCGAAGTGAACGGTATCATCCTTGCGAGAAGGATGATGCAGCGGAACCGAACTCCCGGGACAACGGAGGCGGGGCGGCAGGCCGAGGCGTCAGTCTCGCCGCCAGCTTACTCGGGGTCTTACTCGGGGTGAACGTGAGCACAGGCGACGCTTGGGTGGCCTGGCTTGTTGAGGGACCGGCCGACGAGGGGCCTGGGGCATGAAACACCGGAGCAGGATGGTAATCGATGTTGATGTCCTCGCTGTTGCTGTCCTCCTCCGGGGTAGCAGTGTCGAAAACAACGCCTGTCTCCGCCTCGTCGTCCGTGGAGATCAAGGCACCATAACTCTCGAGCTTCAACACCTACTCGGGCTCGACGAAGTACAAACACTCCAGTCGGTCGAGGAAGTTCTTTGCGTTCTTGCGTGAGGCATCGTGGTAGTTGTCCAGCAATGCCAACATGTGTTCCTTGCGGCACATGTACTCAGCGTCATTGTCCCTCTTGGGCCGCGTTTCCAAAAAGAGGAGCTCGTAGATCCTGTTCCTGTTCCGCTCGCTCAACGTGAACCACATGTCCGTAGACGGTTCCCAAACGCGTGTTGGTTTTTCGCTCCTCGAAACGAACTCGCAGCGGCTGGCTCCAGAGTTGACCTCGCTTTTGAGGAAGTCCAACGTGTATTGCAGCAACTCAGAATTCCCTTCCAGCGCGACCACGTGTCGGCCACTCTTCAAAACCTCCCACACGATTCGCGCGTGCGGCTTACCGAGAAACATGACGCCCTCCTCCTTCTTGCATACAAATTCCAGCAGATGGGTCAATTGTGTGTGGTTTCGCTCCATGTCCTTGTAGACCTTCCTGTCAACTCCAGGCATGGCCGACGGCCACTCGCAAGGGTCGAAGGGAGTCTCCGATATGTCTGTCGGGGTCACTTTCTGATGTACCCCTACAGCCGCAACGTCACCTGCCGACAACCTACCATCGTAGACGAGACAAGTATTCTCCCGCAAATCATCACCTTTCAAGAGAATGTACACGCGGTCGTCAGCCGAGTACAAGTTGTTCCCCACTGAAAAACTTTTCTTCTGCTGCGTCCTCTTGACCCACTTCCCTGCCATTGCCTTCACAACGGGCAGATGGCGCACGCTGGTCATGAATTTGTAGTCCCACTGCCGAGGGACGAAAGCGAAGACCGTCCAGTGAGACCGAAACAATTGCTCTAGGAGGGAATTCAAACTCTCGAAAGCTTTCGGCGTCCAGTGTTTGAAGTCCACCGGCTCACACAGATCGAGAACGCACGTGTGGCATTTGGTGGTCCCAACCGCTTTCTCCAACTCCGTGACCCTCATCTGCGCCTCCAGAGGGTCAAAGCCAAAGGGGAAGATCGATGCCACGTCCCCCGAGTCTTTCTACAGAACGTGCACCATGCCTTCGGCATGCGCGACCTCCATGCTCTTCGCCCTACTGCCGGTCAGCACGGAAAGGACCTTGTTCTTCCAGTCGACGGACAACTTCTTGTTGAGGGCGAATTTTTTCGTCGCCTTGATCGTTTTGTCATCCTCGCACCCTGTGTACGGCGGACAATCCTCGAACAACGAGGCGTCACCGACGAGCTTCCTGCTCCCGTCCCACAACACGGCATCCATTCCCTGCTTCTCGAACTCCACCAAAATCGCCTCCTGCTTCTTCAGAAAGGTATAAGCACGTGTCCAGTCCGTATCTGCCCACTTCTCGTACACAAACTGATTGTAGTTCCACGATCGCACCAAGATGAGATCGCACTTCAGCAGGTGTACTCCCAGCCTCCCTTGCTTCGCCAATGAAGCGGAGCCTGTTTGCACCCACACAACCTCGCAGTTGAGGACCTTCTTGAGCAACCTACATTTCTCGTTGTCGGTAAGGGCTTCCATGCTCTTCCAGCAATGCGGATCCGGCTCGGTGACCTGGACAAACCAATCGCCAGGCTCTTTCTCCTTCTTTCCTTTCTTTTGGGGCGCCTCGACGGGGACGTTGTAGACCACCTCCTTTTGCCCCAACTTCCCGTTTTCGATGTGGCTAACGTCGGGCCTGATGTCCTTCACTTTCCCTTTCTTTGTGATCCACTTCGCCCCCTCGGGTGCCAAAGTCTCTCTGTCTTCCATTTCTCGAAGGATTCCATACCCAGTTCCCACACGCTTTTTCCAGCCATCACCAACGGAAAATAAGAGCGAAGGGCAGCGTTCTGCTTCTTAATATTGTCCTCGCCCTTCTCATCAGCGATAATCCACAAGTGGTAGTAAGGCGTCTTGTGAAGCTCCTGTGCACAAAACTCACGCCATTTCTGCACCCGAGCTTGTTTTTCGTTGGGGTTCCCCATAACAGCCTTTGGGAAGCCCTTTTCCTTCGACAGGCACCGAATGTCCTTCATTGACAGTTTCAGCTGTCGAGGAGGCGCCTTCAAGTCCTTCTTGTTGTCCTCCGAGCTGACCAGAAAATACCCTTCGAACTTCTTGTCTGAGAAGTAAACCATACGTGCAGGCCACCTCTCTAAGTTGTACCTCAATGCGACATTGGTGCCAAGCAACGCATTGGCTGCAGCCGACTAGTGGTGGCCTGAAATAACGTAATAATAGTATTGGCCTGCGAGCTCGTCCTTCCAGTCCTCTGGCTTCAGACGATCCGCCCGTACGCCCGACTTTGGTTTCTCCAGCCCGAGTGGCGCCAGCTTTAGGGTAGGCAACTCGTACGTCTTCTCGGCTTGCGAGAAGGCCATCCTCATCGCATCAATGATAAGCTGCGTGTGCACGGGATCCAGCGACCGTTGGTTGTAGGACGCTTCCCAATCACCGATATCGACGACCAGCGACGGACTAATGAAGAACTTCCGCTTTGTCAGCACGCCGTATATCTGTTCGAGGAAGTACGAGGTGTCGATGTCGATGGGACCCTTCGCCTCGAGAGCACCCGCCTGAGGCTGTTTCTGCACCGACGCCGGGCGTTTCCAACCCGATGTGCCCTCTTGCCCCTCAACTCCCTTCCTTTCCCCCCCCGTCGTCTGGGGGGTCCTTGCCTTATGTTTCTTTGCAGAACCCGCACCCTCTTCCCGAGGACCTCGCCTTCTCTTATGCGCAGGTTGCTGTACGCCCTCCTCTTCCCCCCTGGTTGATGTCGACGGCCAGTCGTGAACCGGGGTGTGTCCTTCCCCCCCAGGAATACTCAAGACAGACCGGTCTCCCCGCCTAGGTGGCGAAGGCCGCGTCTACTCCAGTTCTTCGTCATCGCTGTCGTCGAAGCGACTACGGGGCTCGCTCCAGTGGAGTCGGGAAGAAGGACCGGAACCCAAATCTCCCCCTTCCATGGGAGCACCGCTGGATTCGAAGCCGGTGTACAGGTTCCTCCAGATCGATGTTCCTCTGCTCCACCAAGTCAAAAAACTCCTGTGCCGAAAGAACATCTCCCACTGCGAGATCTTGGTAGAAAGGGGTCTTCACAACCCCCACCCCAAACCCCTGGAACAGGTCGAAAGACAAAACCGCCCCTTTGGAATTGGCAATAACGTCGCCCTTCGAACTGTTAACAATGTGCAACTTATAATGTTGCGTGTTTTCCTTTTTAGTAGGGGGTGCCATCCAGCCACCGCCCCAAGAACTCTACGCCTTTTTTTGTCTTCGAGGAATATAACAGAACCCCATGGAGGTTTGGTCGGCTGGGACTCATCCCCGCAGCACCAATCGACGAACCATTTGGTATGCACATGATAGGACCACGATTTGGAGGTCCGTGATTCCCTCCCCGAGGTACCGGTCGGCTGCTCCTCGCCCCTTGACGTCGACATTGTGTCTGCATCGGTCCAAGATACCAAAACAACCCAACACACGGAAGACATAAATTACCCACCCAGTACAGAGCTCCGTTTTTCGCAGACCCACATTCCACGCACCACCATAGCACATCAACGGTATCGGCCCCCAAATCAACATCGAAAAGAGGCACCTGTATGAAGTTCGGATCTCGGCGAACTAAACGAATTTGCAAGCAATTGGCGCGGGCTGATAACGGCATCCGATGATAAAGAGAGTCACTGAGAGTGAGACGTTTTGTTGACTGTTGGACTCTGCAGTTCACATGCCCCGACCCAACAAGAAGGCACACCGAACGTGTACCAACATCACACAAACATGAGAATGGACTACACGAACATACGACAAGTTCGCCGACATCCGCACTTCTTCACGTCGTGGTCAGGCTTGTGCGAAATCCGGAGATGGGCGAACTAGACGAAATCGACGGTAGTTCTTCACATCCTGTTCACTCACACCTAGTCCGCCGGTATCCACACTTGTTCAGATTCATCTTCAGCCTTCATGTGAAGTTCGGATGCTAGCGAACTTGATGAATTCGCCGGGCAACATCGTTGACGGATAACGGCGTGAGACCGCCAGAGTCCGCCTCTTTGACCCCCAACCCCCAGCACAAGGCCCACCAAACTTGCCCCAGTTGTGTTTGAGCATTGCGAACAACTGATAACTTGCAGGAACTGGAGGGGAATTTTGTTTGTGGAGTGTGAAACTCTGCTCAAAACAGATTCAGGTCCAACAGACGGCCCACCAAAATCACCCCAGTTGCGTTTCAGCATCGTGAACGACTACCCAAACAACTAATAACATGTGGGAACTAGACGGGAATTTTGTTTGTGGAGTGCGAAACTCTGCTCAAAACAGATCCAGATCCAACAAGAAGGCCCACCAAACTCGCCCCAGTTGTGTTTCAGCATCGCGAATGACTGCCCGAACAACTGATAACCTCTGGGAACTGGAGGGGAATTCTGTTTGTGGCGTGCGAAACTCTGCTCAAAACAGATTCAGGTCCAACAAGAAGGTCCACCAAACTCGCCCGAGTTGTGTTTCAGCATCGCGAACGACTGCCTGAACAACTGTTAACCTGCGGGAGCTGGAGGGGAATTTTATTTGTAGAGTGTGAAACTATGCTCAAAACAGATTCAAATCCAACAAGAAGGTCAGCCAAACTCGCCCCAATTGCATTTGAGCATCGCCGAAGAATTCCCTAGCAACCGACCACCATGTCCCGTGAGAGTGCTTTCGGCAGTCCGCAAAGATAGCCGTCGACGGTTTGGCACTTCTTGTAGGTGGTCGGGCGACAAACACATCGGAACTGAAGCCGTTCGGCACCCCGGCGTCTGCTTCATTGGCGAGACGAGAATTTTTGAAGTCCGGATTCCGGCGGACTTAGATTGTCGGTCTGTGGAACGGGAATCGCAGGGTGACGCTGTTCGAAGCTCACGCCGCCCTGGCAACGGAACCGCCGTCGTCAGAGTCCACCCGCCAAGCAGCACACCTTCGTGGGCCGAACTTCACATGTCCACCACCATTGGCAACGGATGAAGTTCGGATGCCGGAGGACTTGTCGGTACTCCTGGGGGCTCGTCAACAGTTATCCTTTTTCACCAAACTCCACATGTTCACTCCGGACTTGTTCGGGTGCCAGGGAACTTCATGTTTCCACATAACCACCACTGCAACTAGGGGCTTCCTGGTCCAACATGGAAGGGGAGAACAACACAAGTTCGCTGACATCCGAACTTCATGTTTTCTGTGCGGGTACCGATCGAAGAAGTCCGCCCGCATCCGAACTTCAATGACTGCCTTACTCTGCATCCAAACTTCTATGACTGGCCTACTATGCTGCTAAACAGTTGTCGATTGTCGGTATCCGAAGTAGAATCATTGCCGAAACATTGCGAAGGTGCGGCAAGGGTGCAGGCTAACTGGACGAATTGGATGGTCGTGGACCTGATGTTCTTTTGCATCAGAGCCTCACACATTGTCGATCTGGGGCAAGTGTGGTAGTCCGTCGGCATCCGAATCATTAGACTGCACCCTTGTCTCTGCAGTTGCACTGCTTAGACACGATTCAAGTTCGGATAACTGCAAACGACAACAATCCAGCAACGATGGAGGCCAATCATTGAAGTTCGGATGAGCCTTCTTCAGTTCGCCCCCGCAACCGGAGTGGGAAGTGAGGATGCAACGCACACCAGTCTTTGAAGTTCGGATGGGGGTGGACTACTTAAGTTAGACCTGGCAGACAAACCACGTAGTTCGGATTCCGGCGAGTTTTTTTGTCCTCCCCTCCCGTGCTAGAGCAGGAAGACCCTATTGCCAATGGTGGTGAATATATGAAGTTCGGATGCGGACGAACTACAAATATTCAGCAGCAAAGCAGCCCGATCCTTGAAGTTCGGATGCGGGCGGACTTCTCCACTCATTCCCCACAGCCGGAATGCGAAGTTTGGACGCAGAGTTGGCCAATCACTGAAGTTCGGATGCGGGCGAACTTCTTCAGTCAGCCCACACAGACAAAACGTGAAGTTCGGATGCTCGCGAAGTTCTTTTGTCCTCCACTCCCGTCCTGGACCAGGAAGACCCTGGTTCCAACGGGGGTTGTGTGAAAACGAAAACTTCCCTGGTATCCGAACTTCAAATGCTGGTGAGATAGGATAACTGCCAACGAGCTACCAAGAGGACCGCCAGGACCGCCGTCGTCTGAACTTCATCCGTTGCCAATGGTGGTTGATATGCGAAGTTCGAATGTCGGTGGACTTCGTGCATTCACGAATGGCCTGCAGTCACTATGGCCTTCCTCGCTTGCGATTGGACCCTGCAATGTTGTGGCGATGTTTCGAGTTGGGATCTCGACAGCGCTTGGCCGGGGTGTTTGAAATGCGTCCTTTGTGGTTTGGCTTACGCACTAGGCATTCTGCGAAAGCGGATGGAGTCCGATGTGGTTCGATGACGAACAAGGTTCGATAATGTCCGATGGCCATGCTAGAGAAGATCCGATGGGCAGTGCTCGATTTTCGTAACGCATAAAAGCTTGAACAACAAAAACACACATGATCTCTCAATCAGGATAGTTCATCGATAGCGAGATTGACCACGCTCTGTTCCTCGATAAACTTGTTGATTGGAAGAGCGGTCGTGTTTTGATCGATCGCATGTTTTCGTTGTTGAGGATCTCGTGGTGCGACAATAACACACACACACACACACTGAAACATACACAATGGTGTGATCTGCATTTGATATAGGCTGTTCACTTGTTTGGGTGCTTGTTGTTGTTATCGATTGGTCGACTGACTTCGGCTGTTCACTTGTTTGATATAGGCTGAACGATGTGCTGATCGACCGGCTTGTTCCATCAAACCAGTGCGAACACTGGTTGATTGTGACAACCAAGCGATCGAACAAACATCACACCCTCCGAGTGATCAATCGAATCGGTCGATTGACGAACAACTCGTTCCCGTTAATGAGCTTGCTCGACGGGTTCATGCCCGTTCGTTTACGCAGATCAAACACACGCGTGTATAGATATGCGAAAATGAACTCGTCGGAGAAGCTAATTATCGGGAACAATTTGTTCGTCAGTCAACCGATTGTTCACTCGAAGGGTGCGATGTCTGGTCGATCGCTTCCTTGTCTTAATCAACTGTTCATCTTTTTAAGGACTATATCGACAAATCGGAGATTCACTTGCAAACGTCCGCTTTCGCACGCAAGCTCGCACCCATACACACACAGGCACACACCCTTTCCATGGAAGGGTGGCTCGTCCAATCAACCGGTAGCATGGAATGGTTGATTGGATCATGGGTTGCTGGAATGGTTGATTTCATCATTGATTCCCTGGTGACGATGGGGCTCATTGGAGGAACCGCCCGGTGTCGGGACCGGTGGGTCCCGAATGACTTCCAATCACTCAAGAACTTGTATAGAGCCAATTTGTGCACGACAGAGAAATCGGGAATAAGGAGGAACGGGAAGAGAAAAGAGCAAAGGACTAAGTTGGCGAGAGCAACGATGCCCCGGGTTGGGAACCGCAAGAATGAGCTAGCAACGGCAGGAAAACGAGCGTGGAGGCTCGGGCGTGGAAGGGCGCAGCCTGAGGACAGACCGGGTACTAGATTTCAATACAGCAGAGGCCAAGGGGACCGCCGACGGGGCTAAGTGTCGGGGGCCGCCGACAGGGGCTAAGTATCGGGGACCGCCGACGGGGCTAAGTGTCGGGGGCCGCCGACGGGGCCAAGTGTCGGGGGCCGCCGACGGGACTAAGTGTCGGGGACCGCCGACGGGACTAACTGTTAGGAACCCCCGACGGGACTAAGTGTCGGGGACCGCCGACGGGACTAAGTGTCGGGGACCACCGATGGGACAAAGTCTCGGGAACCACCAGCGGGACAAAAGTCGGCGGTCCGCAGCGGAACATATGTGGGATAAGTGCCAAGGACTTGTGACTTCCCAAGAGAAAAATAAAGAGCGACGTGAGGAGCAAATAATTAAAGCAAGGTGTACCGTCAAGATCGAGGATCTTGACGGCCAAGAATATTAGCTCCACTAGTATAGGCACTAATGAGAGCAAATAGGGAGGCTGAAAAGAAAAAGAAAAGTGAAGAAACTTGAAGTGGGAAGCATGGGAGCAATCGGAAAAATCTCAGATCAGCCCCCCCAAGAAAATTGAATTAAAAGAGAGTCCATGGGAAAATAAGGTCTCCCGAGGTAAATCGGAGTGAGGGAGGCCACTGCGGGACATGAATGGGAAGAAAAGGAGGCTTCCGTGGGCATGAGAAAGCCAAAATTGCAGTCCGGGCTGCAACGGATTGCGCCATGAGGAGAGGAAGGGCCAAAACTAAGAAGGAGGGCCTAGAAAATGGCGTTAACGGTTAGTTGACACTTGACATGCAAAAAGGAAAAAAAAGAAAAAGAAAAATGAGAGAGAATAAGACAAAATGGGTGAGAGGGAATGAGTGAGTTGGCCGTGAGTTGGGACTGCAGCAAGTAGGGACTGGCAGGTCCTTACTGTCCACAAATAGAGGGGGGGGGGCAAAAAAAAAAAAAAAAAAAAAAAAAAAAAAAAAAGTGGAAAAAACAAAAGGGCATTAACAGCCAAAAACGGTCACTTGGGGAGGTGCATCCGTGACCAGATTCATCCTGGAATGTGGCAGTTGCAAAGGACCTTGATTTTCTTTGATTTTTCCAGAGAAAATCAAATAAAATCAAGGCCCCATGCAACCGAAAAAGAACGGATTGCATGGGGAAGGAGGAACACCTGTTTTAGACGCATCCAGAGTCAGAATAAAGTCCGGATGCACCTGGGAGTTAGCCGTTTTGTTTTCTTTCAAGAAAGGGCTAGTTTGCGTTTGGCCTAGGGTTGACCATCCTATTGCGAG